TTATACCTTAAGACAACAGAATCTCCTATAGAAAAAATATTTTCCTCAAGCAAAAGCCAAATAGAGAGTGATTATGTTTGATGCTAAGAAAGGTGAGTAAAAAGGTAGAGTACACAATTCAATTTAGCTGTTATTTCTTCACATACACTAAGTACTAGCCCCTCTGCAGTGTTCCTCCTCTCATGTGAGAGACAGCCATGCTCAAAAGTCACCTGATAGAAAGTAGACTTGACCACCCTCCATAGGACCCACAGGACTGGCTCTTGGTCCAGACAGAAAGTGGTGGGCAGGATGACTAGATTTCAAAGGGCAGAGAAAGAACCAAAACTATGTTTGCCACCCTGACTTTACAAAACATAACAGAAACACCATCCAAAGGGATAACAAACACTTAGTGATGACTGTATGTCATGTGCTTCATTTATTTCACCTTAGTCATCAGAGGGGGTATTTGTAATTACATTTTGCAAATAGGAAAACTGAAGCTCAATTTGCCCAAGCCCACACAGCTAGTAAGTGGTGAAGTTAAGATTTGATCTCCGAACCATATGTCTCTTTCCCACTATACCACCTGTTCATTCCATTAGTAAGTTTATCAAGTTCCCATAAAGAAAGAGAACGTGACAGGACATTCTGGCTGTGAAAGACTGAGAGAATATGGTGTACGAACTTAATGGTTTGATGACATGACAACCTGGGAATAGAGGCTGGAGCACCTAGATTAATGGATGAGTAACTTGTCAGGTCCCCTGTCATGCCCATTCGCAGATGTTTTTATCTGAGCTTTCTCGCTAATCCTGGGCCATAGTCAAGTTAAAGTGATTCTCTGTAATTTGTCTACTTTGTAAACAGGTAATTAGCTGCTTATCATCTTCCTCCCCTTCTCTCTTTTCCAACTCTCCACTCATGACCACTGCCACTCTCAAAGGTTTAGCAATTTTAAACATGGCTCTGAATGTGCCATGTTCTCCCACACCTCTGGGAAACTCCACATGCAGAATCCTTTTTATTTTTTAAAGAATTATTTATTTAATTTTACTTATTATCATTATTGGTATTTTTCAATTCACTAGAGAGAAAGAGAAAGTGAGAAAGCAAGTCGCAAGGTCCAGAACTCCAACTGCGGTCCGCCATGTGGGAGTCCAGCACCTTAACTACTATGCCACCTGCTGGTCCCACACTGAATCTCTTTTTTTAGAGTCTTGGTTTTTTTGTGTTTTTTTGTTTTGTTTTTTTGTCTTGCTTTTTTTACCTTAGGGTGCGCGCACAGATGGCCACAACATAATCCTTTCTCTTTTATCCTCCTCTCAGGATTTTGGGCATGCAGGCACATGTGCCCAGCATGAGTTTTAAGCCACCAGGTCCAGGACTCGAACCATGGTTGACTACATGGGAGTCCAGTGATGTAACCACCATGCCATCTGCTGGTCCCCACACCCCTCCCTTTTAAAAATAAAGTTTATTTATATATTTCTTCCATGAATGAGAAAGAGAAATAGAGACAGTACCTCTTAGCTTCAGCCAGCCCCGGATTAAGGGCATGCACATGCCAGGTGTATTCAGGGAGGTCTCTGGACTTGAATTTATAATCTTAACACATGGGTCAGACTCACAGAACATCACATTTTCCCATTATGCCACTGTATGGCCCCAGGCTCCCTTCTTGGGTTCTTCCATAGAACCCTGTGCATGCCTGTTTTTGAGTGCTGTGTTTTCACTGTGGGTTTGCATGTCTTTCTGTGGATTCCTATTCGTCTTTGCCTAGCATGCAATAAGTGGTCAGGAATATTTGCTGAATGTTGACTGAATGCCTGGTTACTGCATATCCAGCACTGCCCTGAGCACTGGATATGTAGAGATCAGTAAGACCTGGACCCTGCCCTTGAGGAACTCGGAGTCTGAAAAACACTGAAATATAAAGTAATGATTAGAGCCCAATAGTATAAGATCTATAATATGTACAACAGGGGATTTAGCACAGGAACGGGAAAAAATAACTTAGCATGGTGAGTTGGGGAAGACTGCCAGAGGTAGTAATTTAAGGACTGAATCTTAAAATCTGACAGGTTTTTAAACCATGACGTACATATATTTGGTAGAGGGGAAAATGTGTGCAAACGCATGAGAAAGAATCGAAGTCTGGGTAACTACAAGACGTATTGATGTTAGGGACCAGCAGTTAGCATAATGGCTATGTCGCTGGACTCCCACGTGGTCAACCGCGGTTCAAGTCCTGGACCCAGTGGCTTAAATTCACGCCAGGCACATGTGCATGCATGCCCAAGATCCTGAGAGGAGAATGGAGAAGGGATTGCGGTGTGGCCACCCCCCCGGGGGGTGATTTCTCACTTTCTATCTCTGTCTCTCTCTGTCTGGAGAGCGCATGCGCCCTATAGCAAAAACCTCTCCAAAAAAAAAAGAAGTATTGATGTTCTGTGTCATCACTCAGAATGAAAACCATATTTTCATTTTCATTTTCAATGAAACCAAATGTGAGAGAGGTAAGGTTGTCACTCTGCTGTGGATGTTTTAAGACTTGATTATTCTGACAATTTTGTTTTTAATCAGATGTATTTTATCAGAGGGCAGTAAAGATGTTACAGTGAAATAAATAATTATTTATAGTTTCTGGTCTACCTCCTTCCAAAAATGGTTTGATTTGGGACCAGCAGTTAGCGTAATGGCTATGTCGCTGAACTCCCATGTAGTCAACCGCGGTTCGAGTCCCAGACCCAGTGGCTTAAACTCACACCAGGCGTGTGTGCATGCGTGCCCAAGATCCCGAGAGGAGAATGGAGGCGAAGGGATTACAGCATGGCCATCCCCCCTGGGGGGTGATTTCTCACTTTCTCTCTCTCTGTCTCTGTCTTTCTGGTGAGCACACACGCCCTATAGAAAAAAAAAAAAAAAAACCCTCAAAAAAAAAAAAGGTTTGATTTGTCTTGTAATAAAAGACATATCCACAAGAAACCTGTTCATACAGAAACAGGAAGCAAAAGCTATAGATATGAAGAGAATAATACCATTTCCCAAGGCTCTGTTCCTTCATTAGCTCACCTGGTATTCAGGATAATTTTCTGAAGATGAGTGATAGGTTGACCCTGGCATGAAGAAGCCCACCTGCAAATACTTGTGGATTGCAAGAAGTACACAAACGTTTTCCTCATTTCCATTCGACACCACCATTATTTCCTGGTGGAAATTTTCTTCAGATTTCCTTTTATGCTGGTGGGAATAATCATCTTTACTCTGCCACCTTCACATTCATTGCTTGTTTGAGCTTTTTCACCCAAGCTTCCTTCAGATTCTCTTGCCCTTTGAAATATTTTCTCCTTTAAAAAAAAAAGACTTTGTGGGCCGGCAGGTGGCATGGTGGTTAAAGCCCTGGATTCGACATGGCCAGCTTTGCAGTTCAAGTCCTGACCAGGTGACTTGAGTCATGCCAGGTGTGTGTGTGTGTGTGTGTGCCCAAAATCCCAAGAGAAGAATAGAGGAGAAGGGTTTGAGGCATGGCCATTCTCCTGGGAGGTGATTTCTCTCTTTCCTTCTCTCTGTCTCTTTCTGGCAAGCACAGATGCCCTATGGCAAAAATCTACAAAACAACAAAAAAAAAAAAAAAAAAAAGAAAAAAAGGCCAAAAAATAAAATTTTTCAACTCTTTTTTCTTT